CTTTGGACCATATCCATCAGCCCACTCCCAATTATCAGAAATAGTCCAAAACAAGTAACCAAGCACAGGCACGCCCTATAAACCAGAAAAAGAAGGCCTGGCATGATAACAATCAATACAAGGAAATGAATGATTTAAAGCTGATCAATGGTAAATTCAGAGTCCAAACCATTATCATGGCTGCATATACAGCAAGCAAATGTTCCAACAGATATGGACCTCGAATTAGATCTGTCTCATCAGAGACCCCATTTTCAGTAATGATGAAGGGTACGTTTAGATGTTTGTATCTTTCATGGAACTGAAGCAACATGCGATACAAGCCATCAGGATATACCCCACGACCAGATTCACTGTACTCATCTGTTTCCACAAGTTTCAGTCCCGCACCAGAAACAACTTCCTAAATGTTAGAATAGTTATATAAGTATGAGCCTAATGCACATAGTGCATTCACCATGTTATTAAAACAAACCTGCCCATAGTAGTTTATGCCTATAAAATCCAGCTTGCCAGAAATACTATCAATGTACGGGAAGAGAGTCATGGAGTTAGCCAGTGAAACAGCAGCAACATCAAACAGACCATAGGGTCGCATGAATGACACATGGTGTGCTACACCAACTATGGGTTTAAACGAGTCACTGCCAAAAGGTTTTCATGAATCAGAAACTTATAATTACAAAATCAGCAAAGAGGTCAACCATGGACATCAACTATGAAAGCATAACTTATTGATTAAGATGGATTCAAAAGAAAAAGGTCATAAATATTGTTCAAGGTTCTATAAGCAAGCTACATATTCTGTAGCTTCTTTGAGAAAGGCAAACCTTTGTTCATGGATATAATCATATGCTTTTGAGTGTGCAATAGCCATCCAATGCATGGCCTGTTGGAAAACACCAGTTGGAAGAGCAGATGTAGCAACCTCCAGCATATCAGGATTACCACCAGGCCAAGCTCCAGCACAATAAGTAAGCATACAGAAGACATGAGGTTCATTAAAAGTAACCCAATATTCTACCAGATCAGATACATTGTTTACAACAAGCCTGCAACATGGAATATAAGAGATGAGGAAAAGCATCATTTCACATACTACCGAAAGATGAATAACTCATTGACACTGAATAAGAACATAATCATGTAGGGGAAGGAACATGAGGACAAGTTCCAAGCTGCTCAATGCAATCTCAAAGTAACCACTACATGCTGATACCAACATATGGGATTTAATAAATATCAGCAAACAAACAGTGTCATAATTCAAGATGGACAGTTTACTATGGAGGGCAACTAATGTTCAGTCATTCACAAACCTTCGCAACTGTCTTAAGTGATTTTTTATCACAAGGGAAAAACCACTACTTTTTAACAACAAAATGTAACGATGGACAGATATATTAATCAACAAGGAGAAAGTTGGACAGCTCTGCCAATCAACATGCAGCTTAATTAAATTGTTTAATATGAAACCAGTGGTTTATATAATAGTATAATACAGCTCCAAGAATTGCTTCCAATTATTATATAATGGTTCAATATACAGGTCAGACAAACCTGGAAGACACGGAAAACCCAGTCAAATCAGGCCAGGTTTTTGGGTTGGGGCTTGTTAATCAGGCCAGGCTCAACATAAATTGTCATGAAAAGATAATGGTAGTGACAATGATCAAAACCTGACCACCCAGTCAATGGGACATTATCAATGACCATAAATTACTGAAAGGTTAAGCTTTTAGAAGAAGCCCAAAAATGGCTTTGATACCTTATCTTTATCTTTTGTTTTAATTTGCAGGCTTTTGTTTAGGGGAATATCTCGTACTCCCCTTTCTTTTGTAATACTTTTTTCCATTAAATTTTATTTTTTCCTTATCACACACACACACCTTAGTGAGAAAGAGAAAAAAGGCCCAGAAACAAGAAAATGATGCGATTCTGCAGTAAATTGCTCTCATATCATAATGGAGAAAAATCGAAAATCCAAATAGAAAGTTCAATCATGTTTGACATCACAATTGCTATATATATTGGGAAAATCATGATTGACATTAATATAATAAAGTTATAGAATAAATAATGCATGGAAAAATCCGCATGTCCTGATTCCATTGAAATAACAGTACCTTAAATATACAAGTTTGAGTACCTAAGTTTTTCTTTCTAAAAATCCCATTACATTGTGAAATAGGCATGCATGCACTGGTTTCCCTTACAAACAAGGATAGGCTGGCACAGTGCAGTGGTTGTTCTAACGCAAATGTCACTAGAAGCAGTTAGAGGAAATAACATAAATAACATATATGGACAACTAACACGAAGGAAAGACTAACCTGGTAAAGTCCATGAAATAATCAACAGTCTTTTCCAGCTTCCAACCTCCATACTCACCAGCCCAGGGTGGTAGTGAGTGATGAAAAAGAGTGAGCATGACCTTCATTCCATATGATCGAACCCTACTGATAATCCACTTATAACGCTCCAAAGCACATAATTAACCTAAGAAGATTGAGTAACTTACTCATAAAAGTAAAATATCTGGACCAGTTGAATTCACTGAACTGGTTTTTCATAAACAATATCAGAAAACACCTCAGCTGTCTCCTTAAGAAGCTATCTAACAATACTAATTATCAGTTATCACACTTGCGAAGCAGTGAAAGATGGCATCTTTTAATACTTAATCAGTATGGAAAGCCATTAAGACACTCACAGATTGTTTCAGCCCATTTACAGGTTCCTTTGGCATTATTCTTGTCCAATCTATACCCATGCGAAAGACAGTAACACCAGTATCTTTGGCCAACTTCAGTTCTGTATCAGGATCAGACCAAACCTTAATCTCTCCTTCCTGAGAATGAGGCATCATTTTATATTTTGAATGAACGTATCCCCTGTGACATGATTAAGATACTCCAAAAGCACACAATATCCATCTCTTTTACTAATTGATGCTTAAAAAATACATGATATCAACATTAAAATCTGGGCTTACGGGTTTGGAACATTATGCCAAGCAGTTACATTGTATTGCTGTTCCTCTTCCAGCACGGCAGCTGGTGCTTCTTCTTCTTCTTCTTTTGAGTACTCTCAAATCCTCTGATCATGGCCTCCATAGCAACCTTTAAAGGCCTTTTCCTCTTTTTGACTGCATAATCATCACGTTGCTGAGATGAAGCAGCTTGGTGAGACCCACCATCACCAGTAGCAGAGCCCATTAAAGCATCAGCTTTTTGTTTGACCTCTTGTGAGTCAACATTAGGCTTTTGTTCTTCTGCAACTGAATCCAAGCATCATTGAGCCTATCCTCAACATGCGCTGGTGCTGTAGCCAGGCCAAAGAGAAAACCATTTTTTCTTCTGCAGGTAGTCATCACGAAAAGAAACTTCGTGACCCACTTTCAGATATACACAATTGCACATAATTACATACGCTAAGTAGGATCACCATATACATGAGAATGTTATATTATCAATGACAAGCCAAAAATTTAATAAAGTTGTTGAGTTTGACAAATATAGCTCGTCAAATCAATAATAATACGATAGCTTCGCAGTTGCGGGCCGTGTAGTTCTTGCTTAATTATTTGGTACATAGAGGACAAAGCCAAGAAACTTAAACGTAGTCACAATCCTGGTCAGAAGAACCCCTAGAATATAATCAAGAACAGCGCTCCAACCCCTGGCGATGAGTAGTCAGCTTCTCGAATTGCAACATGCATTTGTCGAGAAATTTCTTGCCAACCACGACTCCATGGCCCTCCCAATAACCGAGTAATTCTTACTTCTAATCCTTTGCATAAAACCCGAAACCAATTTCAGTTGAAGTAAGAACTTAAACTAAATTTCCTCCCATTAAAAATCAAGTTCGAGCTTCATACTTCTTCGGACTAAACCCTCGCAATTGCGTTATATACGATTCTCCGAACTTACTAAGAATTCCCCTGTCCCCAAGTTTATATGACCAGAAGTAGGACACCAACAATTAACAATACTCAATAATCACTTAGACTTTACTAACAATAACAAATCCCAGATTGCTCAAATAGTCTGAAAACGGAAGTGATCATTTCTAGTTGCTCACCGTCAACATTGAAGACAGCGAGCACGTTGGAGGACTCGTCAATAGGCGAGCGGAATGGGCGAAGATTCTTTCTCTTGAAACGGAAGAATGAGAAGGCATTAGCGGCGACGCTGATCGTGACGATTGCTCCAGCGAGCTTCGTGACGGTAACGAAGAGAGCCTCAAACGTCATTTCGTCCTGCCTCCGGGGTCGCGCGCACTCACTGAAACGAAACACAAGTGAGGCGGAGGATATCCACGTGTCTGAGAGATAACGAACTCATAAAGCGAGAGAGCTGCAAGGGGCCCACCGATAACATTATGTACACGTGGGCTTAGCCTCAACGAAATACGGCAACCTCTATCGGCGTTTTCTGGTACGTGGGCGTGGTCGCGGGGATATCTGATAGCTCCCGTTCCGGTAAAAATCACTCAGAATCCAGCCCAAAGCAGAGTCCAATTCCCTACGGATTTGCAAGCTTCGTTATGATGATAAATGAAATTATAATATCACTCAAAACACAATAGAGGGATGGGGTGTGGGTCCAAAAAAATTGGAAAAATAATAACACTCATATATTAATATAAAAATTAAGAACCCCCAAACTTTACCCAAAAAAATTACTGAACTTTTTAGACTAAGCTATAGATCAATCTATATGTCTTGTATATCAAAAGATTTCAAGCTACATAGAAAATGGCTCATATCCACTCGTTACCTATATTACTCTTTCATTGAATAGTTCTAGCTTTATTTTTTGTTTAGCATCAGGCTTGCTGCTACAGGAAGTCAGCTTAAGAAAGGTTCCATCCCTTTATTTTCAAATTTCAAACTCTCTCCCAAATCTCAAATTTCAAAGAACAAAAAAGCTAATTACTCTACCATCTGCCGTCTACTACTCCACCCATCTTTTTTCCTTTCTCCTTCTTTCCCCTCCTCCTCTCATCCCCTTCTGTTTTCTCCTTTAATTTTGCCTTCGACATTCCAAGCTTCCTCCATTCAGCTTTCAAGTTTTCCCCCTCCAATCTTCACTTACCCTATTTAGATTTGTTGCCTTTGCATCGATACATTTGCCTTTCTCCTTTATTCTTTTCGTCTCACCCTCTCTTCTGGTAGCTTTGCCTTAAGGTTCTGAGCTTCCTCCGATTAAGATTTCATGCCTTTCCACCCTGATCTCTACTTCCTCTGTTTAGATTCAAATGCAAATGTAAATGTGCATTTCATTCTTTATGCTTATCGGCCAGCTTTTGGTGATTCTAGATCAACTTATTGATTTTGACTCCCAGGTTCTCCTATTTGACAAGATTAGTTTGCACTATGAGTTTTGCATCTTTTAAATGACGCTATGTTATTTTATTTTTTTAGCTTACAGTGATCTAGTACTCTTCATCATCCTCTCATCTGGTCATTTGACGGCTTTCAAGTGAAGTATTGTCCAAAATATAACAAGCATCTCAGCCATTTCTCTACTTGCGAGGCGTATGGGAAAATGATTGGAAGCTTTCTCCTGAAAATTAACTCTCTTTGTATGGTAAGCTTTCATTTCTCGAATCCCACCATGTTTGAAGCTATTTCATTATATGAAAGGATTAGTGGCTTTTCAAATTTATTGATGGCATTTAAATTTATTGAACCAATTATCAGAGCTGATGTAACTACCTTCATGTAAATTTAGAGAGAAGTTTTTAGACATGTTCTTTATGTAAAAACAGGGCACTTAACCTAAGCCCACACTGTTAGGCAAGAAATAGCCTAATATCTATTTTGAACCTTATTTAACCTTTTACATCATTCTAGGCTCAATTTAAATCGTAGTTTGAAGCCTAATTACATGATTAACCATAAATAACTAGTGAGCTTAGTGCCTTGGCACACTAGTGTTTTGAAAAGAGGTTTTTGATGTGGATGTTAGTATTTAAGGGTTGTTCATATGATTTGTTTTGTTTACCATTGTAGAGGTTTTCATCATGGATTTTTATATATTAGTGTTGACTCAATTTTAGGGGAAAGGTCAGAGCATTGCAACCTTTAGGAGTGTGCGAAGTATGCTAGATGAATATGCCCTAAAAAATATGGGTTGAATTAAATGATCAAGCGGGTTTTCAAGGTCCTTACCACAATTTCCTTAGAGAGTTAAATGCATGTGAGAAAAATAAAGGGCGCACCTTGTGATATGTAAAGCTCGATTGTATTTCTAGTGAATGAATACAACGGGGTGCTCTGTGAAGACAAAGAGGGAAAAAAAGTACAAACTAGCCTAGGAAGCTAAGCTTGCATAAAAGAAGTAGTTTGCATTGAGCGAAGTTATTTGACACGGGGTCAATATTAGCATTATGCATTAGGCAAGTCTTGTGTAAGTTTGATAGAGTGTTGGGAGTCCTTTAGTCATGCACTTGTTGTCTATTTATAAAAAAATAACAATGGTATGCTCCTTTTAAATTTAAGTTTGGCTCTATTAGTAGCAATTAATTGTTTATGCCACTTTATGGCAAAGGTGGGCCTCGTTGTGCAAAGTAAGGAGAATGAGTACTCTGAAATAATTGGGTAGTGGTCTAAAGTGGGAATGCTCTCATTGTTGCTTATCTAAATGTGGCATTCCACTTGTTTATGTGAAACCAACTCAACTCTAGGCTAAGTCTCCCCTCATATTAGATTGGGCTCCAGCTATTTTCCTCTTAGGCCCAGCATGCTAATTTTAGTCCAAACAATTAGAAAATCTCTTTTCAATCATGCATGGTAAGTTTTAAAGCTTATTTTTATTCTTTTTCCATTGTAGTTACATTGAAATTTTAAGTATAAATCTTTTATTAACTTAGTAGGATTTTGATTATAAGTTTATATTTTTTATAACATGGTTAACTATTATTTATTGGTTTTAAACTTTTTTACTATGATAGAATATTTAAATGAATTTCTTCCTTTTCTATCATAGTAGTATCGTGGGTTTGTTAAACTTAAGGTTGAGAGTTGTTTAGTTACATTATAATCAATTGTAGTGACATGTAATTTGGGCTTCAAATACCCGAGGTCCTAGTTTTTGGTTTAAAGAGATTTTCATTGATTTGTTGGACATGTTTTTTTGTTTGAAAAAATATGTGTTGAAAAATTGGGTGTAAGTTGGGGTTGTTACATTTTTTCCATCCATATGCAATCATCATGAATAGAAAGTCAACTTATGTCCAATAAAGGGAAATGCCTACTCAAACAAAAGGCTCAACTAAATATAACTTTATCAGTAATGTAACTAGAGACTGGTCTCTTGGCTTTATGGCTTTTTATTCCTAAAAGTGGTATCAAAATTTAATTTTTATTTTGGACCTAAATGAAAAAATCTATTATTGGAAGCTTATAATTATGCATAGGTTCAAGTCTCTTTATGAAACTATCTTTAATTGCAAGGGTAAGAACTTGTGTGTGCCACAACATTTAAAGCTTGAAAATTGAACTAGCAATAATTATGGAAGGTAGAGACTTGGTGTTTTACGGCATATTTAGGGAGTTTATGAATTACAACTGAGGACAAGATTGTTAATATATTCAAGAGTAAGTGAACTTAAGCTAATATGGAAGTCTTGCACCAGGTAAAGTTGTACATAATAGATAATATAGAATAAAGTGGAATTACTTATAAACTTGAGTTTTAAGATCTCAGAGTTAAAATATAGTGTCTTGCTATTCTCAACTGTTTATTTCTCATTTGTTCTCTCCCCCTTTTAATGAGACTTTTAAACATGAAAGCATATTATTCATTTGAATCACTAAAACCCTTGTATTGTAATGTATTTAGCCCAATATATATATATATATATATAAAGCCTCAAGTAACATGAGTAACATGCTGTTACAATTGATAATTAATAGTAATCAACCCTAGTACATATGTTCTACACTCCTCCTCAAGTTTGGAACTTTATAACCCTTAGTTCCTAACTTGCTGAGAAGGTATTCATGTTGCTCTCTTTTTAATACTTTTGTAAGAACATATGCTAACTGTTGTGCGGATTTGACATGAAGGCAAATCATTCCTTGTACAAGTTTTTCCCTAATGAAGTGGCAATTAATCTCTATATGCTTCTTAAGCTCATAGAATACTTGATTAAAAGCAATGTAAATAGCCGCCTTGCTATCACAATGTACTTGTACTGGTTTTAAATTATTGAATTTTAAATCTTTCATCAAGACTAATATCCAAATTATTTTTACTATTATTGATCCAAGGGCTCTATATTATGCTCTAACTGATGATCTTAACATTATAGTTTGCTTTTTTTTATTTCCAAGAAATTAATGAATCTCTTAATTTTATTATATATCCTACTACAAATCTCCTTGACTCAGTACATCTTTCATGATCAAAATCACAATAGCATTCGAGCTTTATGTTATTTGCATATGAGAGGAATATTCCTTGTCTAGGGCTGCTCTTCAAATATTTGACTAATCTCATTGCAACATTCATGTGTGATGACTTAGGAGTTTGCATGTATTGACTCAAAAGTTGCACAAAAAAAGAGATATCAAGTCTGGTTAGGGTTAAATACAACAACTTACCTATCAATCTTTGATAGACCTTAGCATCTTCAAGGAACTTGTCTTCATCTATCTCTTTGGGATAAGCTTAAGTTGTGTTTCATTAGAGTTGCTACTTCATATGCCTCATCCAATCCTATCTCATCAAGAAGTTCTAAATATACTTCCTTTAGCAAAGAAAAATTCTAATTTTTGTTCTCACCAATTCTATCCCAAGAAAGTATTTCATTTTTCCAATATCTTTAATTTTGAATTGACTATGTAGGTATTTCTTAGATTTATCAATGTACTTTTAACTAGTTTTAGTGATCATCAAGTCATTAACGTATGCTAATACAACAATAAAATTACTGACATGTTGCTTAAAAATAAAGAATAATTATGTTTACTTTGAACGAAACCCCCATTTATTAATGATTGAGTAAGTTTTCAATTCCATTGCCTTGATGCTTGTTTTAGTCTATAAAGAGACTTTTCAAGCTTACAAACTTTTGATTTATATCCTAGTTTTGTTTAAAACCCCTATAAGATAAACATATACAATTTTTTATGCAAGTCACCTTGTAAAAAAGTATTATCTACATCCATTTGATGTATTGCCCAATTATTTACAATAGTTAACATTAGTACAACCCTAGTAGTAACTATCTTGACAACAAGTGAACAAGTTTTATAAAAATCTATTCCCTCCTTTTGGTTGTAGCCTTTTACAACTAATCTAGCTTTCAGCTTATTAAGACTTCCATTTGCCTTGTATTTTGGTTTAAATACCCATTTACAACCTATGACCTTTTTTCCTTTAGGTAAAGGTACTGTTTTCCATGTCTTACTGGCTTTTAAGGCACTCATTTTTGTTGCATGGCTTTTACCCATCTATTATCCTTAACAACATCCTCATAACATATAGGTTCAATTACATTATTAATAGTAGCAATAAAATTATGATAAGACAGTGAAAGATGATCAAATTGAATGCATTCAATATAACTTTTTGTAGCCATGATGTTAACTATTGCCTCATTAGAAGTAGAGTCTTTCTTTAACATTTCTAAAATTTATTTATATTCTTCTAAAGTAAAGAATGATTGATTTGAAAAATTATCTTCTTGTCCAGCTATGTTCTTTATCACAACTTCTTCAATTAATTTGTTAACACCATCATCATATGGCCTCTTACTATGACTAACGAAAAAATTTGAGAGAAAACTAATAAGTTGATAATATGTTTCCCTATTATGCCCTTTCTTGTGGCAATGGAAGCACTTATTTATGGAACTACTACATTCCCGTCCCTTACCATAGCCTGTGCTTGTTCTACGACAGAGCCTTCAAATGGAGTAGAAGAAGGCCTAATGGTAATTTGTCATTGAAATTCTTCTTGAATAATCATGGAATAAGCCTTATTTGTGAAGGGTAAAGGATTCTGGAGTAAAATATAACTGCATGCTTGGTGGAAAGGTTCGATAAGCCCTATGAGAAATTGAAACAACTTTTACACTTGAACAACCTTAGTGTAAACTTGTGAGGCATGGCACTAACAATTAGGTATGACAAGAGCTTAATATTCATCCTAGACTTCTTTAAGCTTTGTAAAGTAAGAAGAGACATTCATAGTCCCTTGAACCAATGTGTTGATGGCACGACGTAATGCAAAGTGAATATTTTGGTCCCATTAGTTTTGTCAAATCTTTCTTTTAAGTCTTACCATACTAAATGAGCATTTTTGGAGAATCCAATGCTGTTGGCAATCTATTTATCAACAGAATTAAAAAGCCAAAAAAGAATAACATTGCAATGATCCTACTAACCTTGTAAAGAGGGATGTTGCTTCCCTTTGAGATAAGAACCATCAATAAAACCTAATTTATTTCATCCAAGAAAAGCAATATGCAATGAACGACTCCATACAGGGTAATTTTCAAATCCTAAAAGAACTTGTGAAACTAAGAAGAGAGTTTGAATGTCAAAGGGATACAAAGGATAAGAGAAATCAATAAGAGA